GCTGTTTTTGGTTTAAACTAGTTGACCCGTTCACTGAAAATACAGCCTTTTGAGGGTCTCGGCTGTATCACAGGGGCCTTGACTGCAGCTCCCTGAATCCTATGGCCTCTGGTTCGGCTCTTCCTGAGGTCATTTGAACGTTCTCCCTCCCCTGAGGGTCACAGATCACTCTAGTGCTGGCTGCTCTGGTTTTCCTTACATTCCTGAGAGGTCAGCTATCGGTTAAAAGGATGGCTGCTTTTATGTGGAGTAATCTAGTTTGTGGAGGGAGGGCTTTTAGGTCTCCTGGTCCATCACATGACCGGAAGCAGGCGTCTCCATCAGTTTACGGGTGAAATTTTTATTAGCATACATACTCTTCTTTTTTAAGTTTTAAAAAATTGAGCGTGACTTTGCCTATGCACCTTTGTTTTCAGGGTTATGTACATTTTCTTGTTTTAACAGTTGTTGCGCTGCTAGTTGGAGGAATCTGAAGAGGGCCTATTTTCAGCTAAATTCTATTGTAGGCCACAGGTCAGTTTTCAGTAAACAAACACACAAACCCATAGACAAACACATATATACATTTATATTAACTATCTTTCTGAATTCACCTATTGTCTTTTCTGACTGGGAGGTAAGATATCAGGACTGCAGGATGGAGCCAAGCCCAGTGCCTCGGTTTTGGGTGGCCTGGTACTGCGGGTGATGGAAGCAGTGAGCCCCCCCTACTTTCCCGGACACTTCATGGTTTGGGATGGGGAGACTCACATTTAAGGACCAGAGGTGAGAGGTCATGGCTCTGTTAGAGCATCTGGCAAGAAGCACATGGCTCGGTGGCTTTCTGAATGTTTAGCAGGACAGGATGGGCAATCGTAACGCCCCAGTGATTCGTGTATGACCCCACGAGCGTATACTCACTTTATTTAGAAATGCTGTGAAACGATATGCTAATTGCAGGCTTATGGGGAATATTTTAAATTATAATATTTTCATGTCAAGCATTTTAACTTAATTGTAAATAAATGATTTCATAAAAGGTACAAAAAAATCATTGGAATGAGGATGGAAATAGACATCCCGTTAGGACAGCAGCTGGTACCTGTGCCCCTCTGCCTGGCCTCCGTTCCCTGTGGTTATTTGAGGAAGGGCTTCTGTTTAAAGCGAACCAGTCATCCTGGTCATACTCACACCTAATCCCCAGGAAGTCACATTCCTCAGTACAGCCCACACTGGGTTTTGCTTTGGAAAGGTCTCTCTTGATTGGGTATAATTTGTTCTAGATTATTGTAGAACTCTGTTTAGGATTTATATATGCTTTAAAAAAAACTTTATTTTTATTTTATTTATTTATTTTTTGCGGTACACGGGCCTCTCACTGTTGTGGCCTCTCCCGTCGCGGAGCACAGGCTCCGGACGCGCAGGCTCAGCGGCCGTGGCTCACGGGCCCAGCCGCTCCGTGGCATGTGGGATCCTCCCGGACCGGGGCACGAACCCGTGTCCCCTGCCTCGGCAGGCGGACCCTCAACCACTGCACCACCAGGGAAGCCCTTTATTTTGATTTTTAAGGAAAAATATGAACCTCTGGTTAGGGCACAGTGATGTTTATTGCCTGTGATATTGACAACTTGTACTTTTCCTTTCTTTTTCTTTAACACATGCTATTTCTGCTAGAGCAAGAAGGTTTGTCCTTTTTTTTCTTGGTAATTGTGACATGCACCTCTTGAGAAGACTAGTCATTAGCAGTCCATTGATGTGATGGATTTTAGAGATTGTGCTCTTGCAAGAAATACTGAAAAGAAATTGGTGATGATTAAACAGGTTGAAGCAAGAGATTTAATTAGTGCTAAGAGACAGAACTTATAGTAGATCATGTCCATCTTCAAGTTGAGAATGAATTCCCTCTGCCATGATTACAATAGGATTTTAGCTCAAATTTCCTTTCTTCCCATGTCTTTCCTGATAAAATTGGCTAATAGAACTTCTTTGCATGTAAAATACCTTAAGTACCAAAGTCTTCTAATTTAGTTTTTCTTTCTTTCTGGAAAGAACATTGAAGACTGCTTCCAGATACTTTGCATTAGCAAAGTAGATTTTCTAGCAACAGGATGCTTATCTAAAATGCCTGAATTGACTTTAAAAAATCAACTAAATTTCATTTTCCCCATGAAAGTATTTGTTTTGGAAAATGCACACGGTTGCACAGCATGTGGGTAAAAACTTCAGCATTGAGCTCTCGTCCAGCACCTCCTTTGCCTGGGGATCATCCAGTCCACTGACTCGTGGCCATGCCCCTTTTCCAAAACAGGCCTACTGGGTCGAGTGCTGTCATTGGTGACTTTGACTGATAATAAAACACTAAAGTATATATTATTTACTTTAAAATTTCAAGTAAATGGGGGAGAGCAAAAGGTTAGACCTATAATACCATCATTAAGTTTCTTCCTTTCAAGAATGGAAGGGAAAAGGGGTGTTTAAACGTAACCCCACCTTTTAAGTATCTGAACCCCCCTTTTAAGTATCTTTCAAGTCACGAGTAAGCTCCCTTTGAGGCGCCATTAATAGTTGTGACGCTTGGAAAGTTCCTTAGTGCTTTCCTTGTCCCCAGAGTTTTGTTTGTCAGAACCTGAGCTTGTGGTTGTGCGTGAGAATATCACTTATTATGGGCTGCATCTCTCTCCCACCTCAAAACAAACGAAACACAAACAAATAGTTGCTTTGAAAATGCTGTCAGAGTTTAATTAAGTCAAGTCCAGCTAATTACCTTCAGCAGTGAGAGAAGTTTCACTCTGACACTTCCCATCTGGTGGCTTTCCCTAGACAGGCCCCGGAAAGACACCATGAGCCCGCCCCGGGGATTCGCACCCGGCCGCACTGCTGAGGTCAGGAGAGAGCTAGGTGTGTGTCTCTCGCTGTTTGCTGTCCTTCCCTCCCAGCCATCTGTGGGAACCCAGCGACTGCAGCCGCTCTCAGCTTTGTGATCCACCCAAGTGATGACGGTCCTGAGTAACAGTTTGCAGGCCCCCTTCCTCTGGCAAACCATGAGGAACAGCAAGGAGATGAGCTCAAGGCTTGACAGGGACAGAGGCGTAACCCTGGCCCAGTGCATGGGACACAACTGGGTCACTATTAACAACAACCGCAATCAAACTTCAAGCAGATGCGCCGCTGAAGCCCTTACATAATTGTAGCAGGTTTGGGTTTCCTCTGGTTCAAGTGTTCTTGCCTCTTTGATAATCAAATGATCTGAAGAAAGGCATAGAATTTCAAGGGAGAATCTGCAGGACAGGCTCACAATAAGGCCATTCACGGGGCTCTTTTATTAGCTTACACTGTATCTGCATCACGTTTAGCCCCTGGCTTTACTACAAGGCTCCATTTAAACATAACCCAACTTGCAGACTTAACTGATCCAGGAATTACTCAATACAACCAGCCAGCTACTGTAGCTTTTCCCCTCTGATAAGGGGATTTAACACAATGGGCTTCACAGTTCTTAAATGACTCCGTTTTTTTCCCCCTGTCTTTGAGATGTGGTGCTTATGTGACCTTTTGTTCTGAATAAAATTCCACATGGTTTGATTATATTTTTTAAAAGTACCAGCAAACACAGTATTGACTTCTTACCCTTAGAGGAAGACGTTTAAAATCTTGTAGATGGTATAGAAATGGAATTCATGTCATGATATTTACACAGCTAATCTCACTATATTAGATATTAACTATTAGATATTATTAAACTTGAAAATATTTTATTTTTGAGGGGTGATTCTGATAAAATTACTGGTAGTACTTGTGCGTTACACTTTGACTTTTGCACACTTCTGGTCATCTGCTGGTGTCTGTGCCGTTTCTGCTACCACAGTGCTGATAGACTAACCTGGGCACACTCGGCCAGTATGTGGAGGGGAAGCGGCTGGGGAGCCTGACCTCAGAGTGGGAGACCCTTGAGGATGGATTTGGTGGCAAACCACTGAGAGCACTGTCGGCCCCCGCTCTGGATCACACCTCAGAATACTGGGTCTCAAACTTGAGTGAACAAAAGTCATCAGAAGGTTGGATAAAAATACAGATGCCTCGCTTCCACGCGCAGGGGGTCTGAATCAGTAGGTCTGGGATGAGGGCCTGAGAGTTTGCATCTTTTGCAAGCACCAGTTGATTCTGTTATCTACCCCACTGAGAACCATTTCCCCCAATTCACCAGGGATTGGGAGCTCAGGGACCCTCCTGGGGAGGCGTGACCCTGGTGGGATTTCCCCAGGGGGTGGCAGGCAGGAAGGTTGCTCTGGAATGTCCAGCGAGTATCCTCTTCTGTTCCGCCTCCTTCCACAGCAGGGCGGCACCCGCCGTGAGCACCGCGTTCCCAGGGACCTGCGTCACCCGTGGGCCTGTGCTTGGGTGTCTGAGAACGTCTTCTCACCTCCAACCCCTTCTGTACGTCGTCAGAATTTCCGAACAGTTGTTATCTGCGGTATTTAATCCGAATTTGCTTCTCTAGCCTCCCCCGTTACCGCCCTATTAAAGTAATTTTAGATTTTTAGAAACAAAGGTCTTTGTCAGAAGATTTCCAATTAGAAGCGGACTCTCAGGAAGCCTTTTGGGAGTTATGGATGTAACATGTTTGTTCATTTCATGAAGGTAAGATTCTTCCTTGAAGATAAGTTGATCTGGTGATCAGGACAAACAAGTGGTGATGACTGCTGTTGATATCCCAGCGCTTTGCCTGCAGTGCTGTCGTGTATTCTGTTTGTAGAACCCACCCCCAACGCGGTTGAAGGACTTTTTTATTATGAGAATTTTCAGTCCGACACACAACTAGAAAATACAATTCCCATATCTGCATCACCTGGTCTCCAGAGTTACCAAGATTTGTCATACTTTTCGGCAGCATTTTTTCCCGTTCCTAAATTTTGCTGGTCGTTTTTTAATTGGTTCTTTTTGGAATGACTCAAACATGAAACGCTTTGCTTGGGGTCTAAGTGCGGTGATCCTGAGTAGTAATTGGAAGATGTCCTTTTCAGGAATGTGTTCCAGAAAACCTAGAGCTGAAGAAGCAGCTTTTTGCTCAGCTGGATGGAATCGTTGGTGACCAAGTTGTCCTGAGCAGCTCCAGCTCCTGCCTCCTGCCCACCAGGCTGTTCTCTGGCTTGGTGCACGTGAAGCAGTGCCTTGTGGCGCATCCCGTGAGTATGTCGAGCCTGGAGATGCAGTGAGTCTCACCTGGCTTTCTGGGAGCAACGTGTTTGGATGAATCTGCTAGTACTTTGTAACTGCTTTACTGAGATGTAAGTCACATATCACACAATTCAACTTGTACATTTCAGTGGTTTTTAGTACATTTAGAGAGTTGTACAACATTAATGTCTTACGGAGAATTTTATCCAAAAATCCCTTGAACTCTATCTTGTCCCTCACGCACTGTGGGAGAGAATGATCAATACTTACAGACTTTGGCCCTTAAGTAACTCACCGTCTAGCTGAGGGGAGAGACTGCTAATGAAATCATCCCAGTGCCAAGGAAAGGTGCTACGTTAACGAAAAGTCTAGACCACATGGGATTCTGCAGGTGGGTTCCTGAACTTAGCTCAGAGCAGGGTCACTTGTGCTGATGTGCAGGGTCCGGGTCCCCCCACCCCGAGATTCCGGCGCAGCAGCTCTGACTTAAACCCTCCTTTTTGTGGTCCCTTCCACCAGACGTTGGCACTGACTGCGCCAATGCACTCACCAGGCGTGCGCTGCGAGGCGTGTTGGACCATGAGCTCCAAGTTGGCACGTGGGCACTCAATCTTTTTGCGATTAACGTGTTAATGTCAGGAAAGGGGAATCAGAGTGGGGATTCAGGGGTCATTTGGTGGACATTTGAGTACCAAGTGGAGGTCAGTGTGACCTTGGAGACCTGGGACAGCCTGCTAGGACAGAGACGCCACTAACTTAGTTCAGTCCCACCCCGGGCCAAGAACAAGCATGGGCCTCGTAGAATCGCCAGGAGACCAGCTTGACGGCAAGAGCAGGAGAAAGGTGGAAGGCTTGGTAATACTTGGGTCATGGAGAATCGTGAGAGTTACTCTGAAGAATGAGAACTGGCTTAGGTGCCGGGCAGCTCCTGCACGGAACTTGGGGCAGAATTCCCAGCATGAGTGGCCAGGGCCTAGGGAGGTGAGGGGTCCTCGAGTGGGGAGCAGGGAAATTCCTCTTTCTGAGCAAGAGGAGGTTAGAGGAGGAGATGAAGACACAGGGGAGTCATAGATGCCTGCTGGGTCTTCCGTGCTGCTCAGAGGGACAGCCTGGGAGTCATAGATGTGTGCTGCATCTTCCGTGCTGCTCAGAGGGACAGCCTGGGAGTCATAGATGCCTGCTGCGTCTTCCGTGCTGCTCAAAGGGACAGCCTGGGAGTCATAGATGCCTGCTGCATCTTCCGTGCTGCTCAGAGGGACAGCCTGGACCACTGTTTACGTGACTGAATGGTCTAGATGTCCTCACACTGAAGTTTAATGGAAAGTGTAAAAGAATGGTTATAAGATAAGGAGACTTAGACCCAGAGCACAGAGAAGAAAACCAAGCATTTAGTTACCACTCCATACAGGTGAAAACAGCACCAGAGAGACCTTAACTGAAGCATCCAAATACCAAGTCCCATGAAGCATGTCATGTCTTGCTTCTGTGACATATGTGTGTCCATAAAAAGCCTCTTAGACACCGTGATTGTTACTTGGTTGCTTCAATAAAAGGTGCAAGCCTCTTAGTCAAGAGCTTCCATTTCTAACCAGTGTTTTTACTTCTAAGTCAGTTTAAAAAACAACTCAATCAAATTGTTCAGAAAACCCTAAGTCCTCTGACAGGAGTTTTACTCCATCTCTCTCTTTTTTTAAAAAAATTTATTTTATTTATTTATTTTTGGCTGCGTTGGGTCTTCGTTGCTGCGCTCAGGCTTTCTCTAGTTGCGGCGAGTGGGGGCCACTCTTTGTTGTGGTGCGAGGGCTTCTCATTGCGGCGGCTTCTCTTGTTGCAGAGCATGGGATCTAGGCACGCGGGCTTCAGTAGTTGTGGCACACGGACTCAGTAGTTGTGGCTCGCGGGCTCTCGAGCGCAGGCTCAGTAGTTGTGGCGCACGGGTTTAGTTGCTCTGCAGCATGTGAGATCTTCCCGGACCAGGGCTCGAACCCGTGTCCACTGCACTGGCAGACGGATTCTTAACCACTGCGCCACCAGGGAAGACCCCACATCCCTGCTTTATAGTAAAGAAGAGTTCACCCAGGAGAGACATGCTTCCAATTCTTATCATTCTGATCTTAAAAAGGCCAGAGATTAAACATTTTTATAAGAATTCAGTGGTCATAGGCAGGAGACAAGTGATTCAACTAAGGCATTGATTTGTAATTTATTTGAAATAGGTGCTATCCTTGCTTGCTTTCTAGGAAGGCTGCGACAGGGTGACCAAGACAGTCTGGGAGCAGAATAAACCTCTGAAGTGTGTGGACCAGCTGCCTCTCCAGCCAGTCCTAGGAGAAATAATTTCTTCTCTCTTCTGTAGAAAAAGTCTTTTTAAAGTGGATGCTTCTTGTAGTTATTTGGTAGATGTGAGATTCTACCAGTTTTCACCCAAACATGGAGGGAAAACAATTTCAAGTAAAGCATTTTTCGGGGAACAGTGTGCATCTGCTTAGTGGCGAGGCTGATCCACAGCTTTTATCAAACAGCCTTTTCCTTTTTCTGTTTTTGTTTTTTGGCCGTGCCCTGTGGCACGTTGGATCTTAGTTCCCCGACCAGGGATCGAACCCGTGCCCCGTGCAGTGGGAGCGCGCAGCCTTAACCACTGGACCGCCAGGGAAGTCCCTCAAACAGCCTTTTCTTTAGATGTAGGAGAATTTTCCTTGAGAATCTTCAAGAGTGGTTTCTCAAAGGAAACCAAGAAAACCAGAGCTGGGTGGGCAAGCATTTCCACTGTGGACAGACTTCCTGTCTTAGCATCCATCACGATGTTGAGGCTGAAGAGGGCTTCGGATATCGTGTGACTTCTAGGTAAGACATGATTGCGGAAGCAGATGTTTGAGGCTCGACATGGAGAAGTTAAGGAAATACCAACTTTAGAGAAGATACTGCCAATCCAGTAATTTTTTTTAAATTAATTAATTAATTTTTGGCTGTGTTGGGTCTTCGTTTCTGTGCGAGGGCTTTCTCTAGTTGCAGCGAGCGGGGGCCACTCTTCATCGCGGTGCGCGGGCCTCTCATTGTTGTGGCCTCTCCCGTTGCGGAGCACAGGCTCCGGACGCGCAGGCTCAGTACTTGTGGCTCACGGGCCTAATTGCTCCGCGGCGTGTGGGATCTTCCCAGACCAGGGCTCGAACCCATGTCCCCTGCATTGGCAGGCAGATTCTCAACCACTGCACCACCAGGGAAGCCCTCCAATAATTTTTAACACTGACACAGTAGACTGGCAATGACTATTGTGGAAAGAGGTTGGCTGGGGGCAGGGTAGGTAGAAGCTTACGAGGTCAAGATGGCTGGGAGCAGAGAAATCCCGAGGGAGGTCAGGGGTTTGGAGGTAAGCGGTAAATGTACAGGGTGGCAGTTTGCACGCTCCGATGTGAACCTCAGTGTTGGTTATGATTCATGCAGTTCTGTGCTCAAGTCCTTTCGTTTTCTCCCTGCTCTGTGCGTTACTTTATTTCTCGAGTTTCTTGTCACTGGATGCTGAATCTCGAGGGGCCCCATCTGCCCTGCTGCTGACCCTTCGGAACAGTGAGCCAGCTCTGCCGGAATGACGCCCAAACGCCAGTGCCGTCTTCCTGACTCTCTCTGCTCTCTCTGTCTCTCTCCTAAGGTAAATCCACCCTACTACGTCCCGTTGGTGGAGCTGGTCCCACACCCAGAGACGGCCCCTGCGACGGTGGACAGAACCTACGCCCTGATGCGGAAGATCGGACAGTCCCCGGTCAGACTCACGAAGGAGGTGGACGGCTTCGCTCTGAATCGTCTCCAGTATGCCATCATCAGCGAGGCCTGGAGGCTCGTGGAGGTGTGTGCGCCGCCCTCTGTCCTGGCAGCTGAGCAGAGGAGGCAGGAGCCTCTGGGCACGCCATGCGGGTGGGAGACTCAGACACTTGCTCTGTTCCGGAGACCAAGGGCAAGCTGTTCTCTCTGTGTTTCAGAGGTTCCCCTGTACGGTAGGTCACTTGATATTCGGATGTGGTGATGGGCTCCTCTTCCTGCCCTTTCCTGTTGTTACCACGTAATTATCTCTGTGACGTGCTGCATTTTCCCACTATCTCAGATTCTGCTCCCCCCACTCCCAGTATTATAATTTTTCAGGAGGAAAAATAAATTATATTTTGAGTAAACTTGTATCTCCTAAAGGAACCCAGTTTATTTCAAGAGCTTGAGGAAGAAACAGTGGATGACTTTTTTTTTTTTTAATTTATTTATTTTTGGCTGTGTTGGGTCTTCGTTTCTGTGTGAGGGCTTTCTTCTAGTTGCAGCGAGCGGGGGCCGCTCTTCATCGCGGTGCGCAGGCCTCTCACTGTCACGGCCTCTCTTGTCGCGGAGCACAAGCTCCAGATGCACAGGCTCAGTACTTGTGGCTCACGGGCCTAATTGCTCTGCGGCACATGGGATCTTCCCAGACCAGGGCTCGAACCCGTGTCCCCTGCATTAGCGGGCAGATTCTCAACCACTGCACCACCAGGGAAGCCCTGGATGACTTTTAAACTTGTTAGTAGCATGCTTGTCTCACATATAGACAAGAGATTATTTATATATATATAAATTTACATACATCTCTATTTACATACGTGTAAATTTATATACATATATGTTTAACATCATCCTTGAATTAAAAGATTTTAGACGTGACTTTAAAAATTGCCTGGCCACACGCACTCCCACCTGCATTTGTGTGAGGGGCCTGGTCCCTGGCAGGGAGACGTCAGGGCAGCTCCACACCTGGGAGTGGTCCAGGCTCTGCCGGTCTGCGCTCCATCCCTCACTTTCTGATGCTTCCCCAGCTTCTGAACGGGTCAGTAGCGTGCTCTGCCCACACCTGTCCTGCTGAAACTCGGCAGAGTGAGCAAGGGTCTGTCCAGGTACGTGCGGCGAGAAGGGGGCTCGGGCTCAATCATCTTCGCCTGGAATGGATTCACAGCCTCTAGTCTCGACTTCTGCAGATGCCTGGCGGTCCCAGCCTGAGACAGAACAGGGAAGCTGGCCTGGGGGCACCGGATCTCAGCTTCCCAGTGCAGGATGCACGTGACCCTCCCACAGAACGCTGGCTGTGGCGTTTGGCCACATCCCTGTTGGGTTCGTCATCTGAGCTGGCTGCTCGCAGTAGCTGCAGTCCTGTGTCCTCACTGTTTGAATCCAGTTAGTGCTCCTGCATCTTCAAGATGCAGCGTTGGGATTCCCACTGTGAGGTGTTCAGCTTCAATTGCTCGGTGACTGCAAAATGTTTTGGAATGTCAATCAGTGGTAGAAGCACTGAAGTAAAAACAGCCCCTTGGAGATCTGTTTAAAATATTTCCACCAGGACTTCCCTGGCAGTGCAGTGGTAAAGAATCCGCCTTCCAATTCAGGGGATGCGGGTTCGATCCCTGGTCGGGGAACTAAGATCCCACGGGCCACGGGGCAACTAAGCCCGGGTGCCACAGCTACTGAGCTCGCGCGCCTCATCAAGAGAGCCCACGTGACACAAACTACAGAGCCCACTGCACTCTGGAGCCCACGCGCCACAACTAGAGAGAAGCCCACGCGCCACAACAGCAACAGAAGATCCCACATGATGCAGCTGAGACCTGACGCGGCCAAAAAAATAAAAGAAAATAAAAATATTTCCACTTGTCTAGAGTACGGGAACTTAATATACCGCAAGAAAAATTCACTATTACAGTGAAACGTTGCAGAGATTTTAGGGCAGCTTTTATTTGTAAGATATCTTAGTGCCTGGAAGAGATGAAGAAAAGCCCTGCAGTTGAATTTTGCTTTCTCTCATCTAAACGAGGAACACCAACTCGAGGAAAACTTAAGAGTTGGGAAGTTTTCCTTCCTCTTCTGTTTTCTGGAAGAGATTGTAAAAGTTCTGTTAATTTTTCCTTAAATGTTTGGTCGAATTCTCCAATGAAACCACCTGGGCCTGGAGAATTCTTTTTTGGTCTTTAATTACAAATTCAACAGCTTTAGTGGTTGTAGAACCATTCAGGCTGTCTGTTTCATCTTGGATGAGTTTTGGCGGTTTATGGTTTTGGAGAAATCGGCCCGTTTCTTCTGTCGCTGAACTTATGAGCGTGAAGTTGTCGGTGGTGCCTGTCGTGACATCCCTGGGTTCATTCCTGTTGTGGGTGATTCATGTCTGCTCTCTTTATCTTTGTCATGCTAGAGATTTATCAGTTTTGGTGCTTTCCTGAAGAGAAGGCTTTTTGTTTCATTGATTCCCTCCCCCTGTCCCCCAACTGTGGTTTTCCTGTTTTCAGTCTCACTAACTCTGGAGGGGAGGGTATCCCTTCATCCTTGCAACCAAGCAGGAGAGAGAAATTCTAGGAAAGACAGGGTGGGAGCGGTGTGTGTGCGTGCGTGTGCGTGTGTGCGCGCGTGCGCACGCGTGTGCGTGTGTGTGTGTGTGTGTGTGTGGCTCCTGCACGGGCCTGTCCTTCGTGGGGAACCAGGGGAGACGAGCCAAGGTCGGGAAGAGGCTGTGCAGAGCACACTGTCCCGTCCCAGCCCGTGAGCTCCGCAGGGCATCCATTGTGGGAGCAGGACGGGTGCCCTGGCTGCAAGGGCACATGGGCGCTCACAGCCACGCAGTCCGTTTTTTCCTGGACCGTTTGGCTGCAGAATTGGGACGGAGCAGCCCCTGTTGGCTGGGAAATGCCAATGGCTATAGTCTAGTCATCCGAGATTAGGTCACTGGGTGACAGGATCCTGTTGGCCAGAAAAGTGATTTTCAGTCGATCTTAAGCTGACAAGCACAATAAGGGAAATAGTGTTGTAATGACAGACTCTCGCCCAGACAACAGCTGAGCTTGTAGTGCCCGTAAATTCTTGCCCCGTTGAGGGAGGGTCCGTGGAGGCGAGCGGGAGTGAATCACGGAGCCGCCCTTGGGTTCTCAGCCCATCGGAATGTGTGGGTGGTAATGAGCTTTAAATTGCTTACCTCCGGTTTTGTTCATCTTTCTGAGAAAGGTAACATCCAGGTGATTTCTGCTCCTTGGGCCTCTGGCGTCTTGCTCGGGGCTGTGGCCTGTGCAGGACCCTTTGAGAGATTCCAGGCTTCCGTGGTCCAGCTTTATTCCTGGCACGAGCACAGCTGTTATGAGGACTGGTTTCAGCTAATAAAGCGCATCTCCAGGATCGTGTGGTAGAGTTCACAGATGAGACATTTTGTGGTAAAGCCACTCAAGGGTTTCTGTTGGATGTAATTTAGGAGAGCACAGCGGTCCCTCCAGCATATTTGAAGTTGTGTCTAGGTTACTTTCAATACCTAACACAGCCTCAGTCATGAGTACACAGTCGTTCATACAATGCCAGTGCTATTTAAATCGTCGTAAATAGGATGTAAAAACTGTAGACAGTTGCCTTTCCTGCAAAGTCAAATTTTGCCGTTTGGAGCTTTCTGGATTCTTTTTCCTGAATATTTTTGATCCGCGATCGGTTGAATTCGAGGATGTGGAACCCGTGGATACGGAGGACTGACTGTAAAACACAGAAATTAGGAGTCTTAGCACAGCAAACCCCTGAGCATCATCTACTCATCAGTGACCTCAGTTTGTATATAGTATTTCAGAGCGTACAAAGTCCTTTCCTTTACATTTCTCATGATTTTCAGATCATCCAGTCCTAACACCACGAGAGACATATTGTTATTTTTGCCTTTACAAATTAAGTGGTTTGATCCATGCTCCCCGGTCTGGTAGGGATTCAGACCTGTGCCACCTGTGTGCCGCGGTGTCTGCATTTGTAAGTGAAGATGACAACGGACTGTTCCCCATCAAGATCTGATGAGGGTTGGATGGGTTATGTGTGTAAAGGGCTTAGAACGTGGCTGGCGTATACTAATGGTTGAGTAGGTGTTATGGATTATAGTGATGATGGTGGCAACCATGTTTTCTGAATCCCAGAGTCCAGGGATGTAACAGCAGTCACCTGTGAGTTAGCTCCGAGCTGCAGTGCTCGCATGCCAGGAGCACGAGTGAGGTCCTAGGGCTAAGGGTGGCAGCGTGGGCTTCACCTGGGCGCTTGTTGGAGATTCAGCGTCTCAGGCCCCACCCCAGCCCTGCACAATTGGACTCTGCATTTTATCAACCCCCCCTCCCCTCCCAGGGGATTCCTGTGCATCGTAAAGGGGGAGGAGTCCTGGCTCACGCCCTGAGACCTTGGCCTCAGCCTTGACGTATGGAATTCCATCTGTTCTAAGATAAAATTTATTTATTTATTTTTTTTTTACATTTTAACATCTTCGTTTTATTGGCAGCATTTTTCTTCCATAATGGAGTGTTAAATGCTAATTTAACTTTCAATCAACGGAGTCTTAACTTCAATGAGATACAGTATATTGTGCCATCTTTTTCAGTTGCCTTTTCCCCTTCCATGTTTTCTGTCTTTGCGTGTCTTTTGTTTCTGACCCTCTTTATCTCTGACTCAGGGCTCATAATAGATAAACATGCAGCTCTAACCATCTTTGCTTAGTGGAAAGACTCTTACATGGTCCCGATTCCTAGTCCTAGATTTATGACACTGAATACCTCTGGTTATCCCAAAAAAGATGGGAAAATTGATTTTAAAACAAGATTTAATTCACTTGTGATTAAAACACAAACACAGCAGAACAAACGAATGCTACGTTTTCACTACTTCTCCAAACCAAAGCTCCCGTCCCCCGCAGCCCTCCAGACGCTGTCTTCCCCGTCACGCCGGCCGCATGCTTGGCATCAGTGATCCTCACGTGGCCTTTGGTTTCCGGAGCAGGGATGCAAACCATAGTCTGGTTTTCCTCATTTAGTCGCAGGCCTGTGTGAACAGAGTGTCCCTCCA